CGACACGAGCTCTCTGACGCTATCGCGTTGATGCTTCAGCTTCAGACGGTTGCTACTAGCGTATCCCACACAACCAGACTTCCAAGAAGAGAGTCCAATAAGCACGGAGGTCTTCGCAAGGCAGATTTAATATGACTCGCACAAGCATTTGCCATCAGTAAAATCACCTTCTCCTGCCATATTTTCAGCTAACCAGGCTTGACGAAGATAAGGTGAATGCACCGATTCGCAAGCTCTACAAGTTTACCAATCAAGTGCCAAGTACAGCCTCTACAGAAAAACATCTGGCTACTGGCACCTTGAATACCTTCGGTGAGCTCGCAGAAACCCCCGTAACGGCTCAGTAACAACGCCCTTCAAACACTCACACTGGCAAGCATGTTTTATACTCCCTAAATATTAGTGCAGCCCCGATGACTAAGGAAAAATTCAATATTCCTCACCAGCTTCATGAGAGCTTTCATACACTTCCTGTCTCTAAAAATATGCATCCTGTTCATCACGAGCATAGAATGCAAGAACGAGCCAAATCTTTTGTGAAAACGTTGTTGAACTGCAGTGATATGGTCCATGTCGATGGTGCAGAGTATGCATCTGGGCAGAAAATTATATTATCAGTGTTCAGCTGTACCGGCAGTGTTGCAGCGGCAGCCTCCATTCGAGCCTCGTCTTCGGAAGAGGCAGAGGAGGCAGTGGTTACTCAATCTTCTGTCGTTGTGAGTGACTTAAAAAGTGTCATACACAGCTTCGGAGCGGGCGCGGTTTGCAGGCCTAGCCATTCTCTCCCGCAATCCATCATCCCAACTTTTGGCGTTCATCTGCACACCTGCTCACTCAGGCCTGATTGGTAATAAAGTGGCCCACACCAGTGTTTGAGCTTTCATTATTCGAGCGCAAGCTCACCTAGTGGACGCTTAAAAAATCGATGATCTCCCTACTGCAAGTACATCGAAAAAAAGATAACTTACATACAACGACATCTGCGGGCACTACTGCCTCGGTCACAGAACCCTAACGCTTTTACTGCGTCAGTCCTGTCGTAGGCGTGAGTTCCTATGGCGTAAACTACAAACATGAATTTTTCTCTCCTGTGCGTTACACCACAAAATTTACCATGGAGTTTACCCCAAATGGGACTGCAAGCTTTTTACAGTCAGGAAAGCGCACTTTAATCACGTTGTCATCACCATAAGCCTGACTACGTTCACTGCTGGATAACGGCCTTTCCCATGTTCCGCCAGTCAACTCGGTCCTATGCTTGCTGCTGTGATTTTATGCCCCCAAGATTTTTATTCTCATCTGCCCATCTAACTATCTCTCTCCCCCTTACCCGTATGCCTTCTCTGGGAATCCAGTTAGTTACCCTTAATGACCAGCAGTTATCCTGTCTACACGCTGCATGCTCGCCCCATGTCCATTTCCTCTTCTTGTTTCAACTATGGTATGCCTAGCCCCGGTTCGTTCCCTGATCCGCTCTGTTCTCTTCTTCTCTCTTAAGGTTACACCTACCATCTTCCTTTCCAATACTCACTGCGTCGTCCTCTATTTAAGCTGAACCCTCTTTGTAAGTCTCCAGGTTTCTGCTCCGTAGCTAAGTACCGGAAAGATGCAGCTGTTATATGCCTTCCTCTTGAGGGATGGTGGCAATCTACCTGTCATAATTTGAGAGTGCTTGCCAAATGTGCTCCACTCCATTCTTATTTTTCTAGTTACTTCAATCTCGTGGTTTGGCTCCGCGGTTAATACCTGCCCTAAGTAGACATAGTCTTTTACAACTTCAAGTGCACTATTACCTATCCAAAAGCGCTGCTCTCTTCCGAGGTTGTTGGACAATACTTTCTTTTTCTGCAGATTAATTTTAAGACCCACCTTTCTGCTCTCCTCGTCTAACTCTGTAAGCATTAGTTGCAATTCTTCTCGTGAGTTACTCAGCAATGCAATATAATTGGTGAAGCGCAGATTATTATGATACTCTCTATTAACCTATGCCTAACTGTTTCCATTATACTAGGCCTTTAAAAAAACCTCCTGTAAGCCCGCGGTAAATAGCATTGGGGAGATTTCATCCCCTGCCTTACACCCTTCTTGATTGGTATTCTGTTGCTTTCTTTATGAAGCACAATGGTAGCAGTTGATTCCCTGTAGATTTCTTTCAGGACGTTTATATATGTTTCGTAGACGCCCTGATTTCGCAGTGTCAGCACGACTTGTGATATTTCTACTGAATCAAACGCCTTCTCGTAATCTATGAAGGCTATATATAGTGGTTGGCTGTATTGTGAGCATTTCTCTATTGCCTGACTGATATTATGAATGTGGTTGGTTGTTGAGTAGCTTGTTCGAAATCCTGCTTGTTCTTTTGGTTGATTGAATTCTAATGTTGCGTTATTCTGTTTTCGATTTCCTTTTAAAATAGCTTGTATACGATGGAGAGCAAGCTGATCGGCCTGAAATTCTCCGAGTCCTTGCTATCTCCTTCATTATGTAGTAAACCGATGTTACCATTTTTTCAAGAATCTGGTACTCTTCCCGTCGCGAGAAACCTTGTAAACAGTGTGGGTAGTTTCTATAACACACTCTGCCCTCCATGCTTTCAGCAGATCTGACGTTACCTGATACTCACCAGCACCTCTGCTTCTTTGCATGATCTCGAAGGCTTTTCTGACTTCTTCCAGCATTACTTTTGGGGTGCCATTAAGGTTACTGCTAGTTCTTATAGCAAGATCGTGGTTGTCCCGGCTACTATACAGATCTCTGTAAAACTACTCCGATATTTAACCATCCTATCCATATTGATTGTTAAGTTGCCTTCCTTGTTATTTTGTCCTTGAATGCATACATCTGATTTTTGCCTATCCCTAGTTTGCTCCTCACTGCTTTGACGCCTTTTCCGTTCTTCAGATCGTGTTCACTTCTCTTCATGGAATACATTCTTACATCACATACCTTACGCTTATTATTCAACTTCGAAATCTCTGCCAACTCTATTTTGTCTGCCGTACTCAAGGCTTTCATGCTTTGACGCTTCTTCGTTTCCTGGGACAGATTGCCAGTGTCCTGTCTAGCTACCGTACCTCCAACTTCCACTGCACACTACGTAATGATACTCGTCAGATTATCAGTAGTTTCGTCAATGCTAAGGCTGGTTCCCTTCATAAGAGCCGAGTACCTGTTCTGAAGCGAGACTCCGAACTCCTGTTCTTTCGCTTTCAGTGCTAGCTCATTGATTAGCTTCTTGCGCATCATTTTCTGTCATTCCTACTTCAGGTTTAGGCAAATTCCAGACCGTAACATTCTATGGTCACCGCATCGTATCTTGCCAAGCACTTTTACATCCTGCACCATGCCTGGGTGTGCACTCACATGAAGTGTATTTCTTTCTTACTTTCGCCATTAGGGCTGCTCCATGTCCCCTTCCGGTTCCTTTGTTTTTGGAAGAAGGTATTCAAGATCAATAAATCATTGCGTTCTGCGAATTATGCTAATGGCTCCCCTCTGGCGTTTCCTTGACCGATGCCGTAATCTCCTACTGCGTGGTCTCCAACCTGCTTCTTCTCTACCTTTGCAGAGAGGTCTCCCATCAGCATAGTATACCGTGTTTTTACCTTACTCATTGCCGATTCCATGTCTTCATGAAAGCTTTGAACTGACGCGTCATCATGGCTGGATGTAAGAGCGTGAGCCTGTATCACCTTCATCTTGTATCTTTTACTAAGTAATTATTATTGAGTTTAACTACGATGCCGGTCACACTTTCAATAATACTACAGTATTACTCTATGTGTCCAGCTGGGTTTCTGTGGCTAAGGAATCCGAGTCTCCCTCCTCTTCTCTCAGCCAATCTACGATAGCACAGGACTTGCCGATTCTGTAACACTGTATAGGCCTCATCGGTCCTCCTAACCTCACTGAGCCCTATTGCATCCCATTTAAGACCCTTTAGCTCCTCAAATAGTACAGCTAGACTTTAAGGTTCTAACGTTGAAACGCTGCCAAGTTCAGGTTCCAATGGAGGCCTGTGAGGAACCAGAAATTCTTAGCACCCTCTGCTGAGTTTCTGATCTGACCACCACCGTAGTCAGTTGCTTCGCAGCCACTTGAGATCGAGGGCCACGAGTTAATTGATGGATGCATATGGGAAGTAGGGACAAGATGCTGCACCAGGGTGGCCAATCTTTCTTTGGTGAGGGAGTGCATTACTGGCGGTGGTCACCTGTGAGACCGTACCCCAGGCCTCCTAATGTAGTTCCATCACCACGCGAATTTTTCGAAAATCGGAACTGCGTGGCACCGAGATTTGAACCACGGACCTCTTGCATGCGAGGCTGGGGCTCTAAACACTACGCCACCACTGCTACTCATAATATATGGGAGTGTCGAAATCACTTCCCTCCCCCGAGCCTTCGTGAACAACTAAATAGTAAGGAGCTATGGGTGGCTGCAATGTGCAGCCACCCACAGCCTTGAAACCCCAACCAACTTTGAAATGGCTGCCCTGAGGAGGGTTGAGGTGATGCAGGAGGCCTACCGCGAGTAGAATCCCTTACTTTCTCGCAGCCCCTTTTCACCAAGATGGGATAAATAAGGTTGTGACACCTGTAGCGCGCACAAAGGACAGAAACACCGAGGTACGTCGTCCCCACCGTATGTCCTGTCTTTAGTGTGCGTAATGTGTGTTAAGAATAAAGAGTTAAGTTTCTTGCTAAAACGCTGACAAGCTTTTTCTGTGCGCTTATCACTTCTTTGAACGCTATTTTTAGGTGACTCCTTTGCGCGTGTGTTATCGGCCATGTGTTTCCTGTTGTGTTTGCGATTTATATGGAGAGGTCAGGCATGAAAAAAAGAAATTTCTGGCCAGTAGCACTACTTGTGCGTCTTACGTTTCTTAATTATTTTCCTCTCATGCCTAGTGGACGCTGCAAGTCAGCGTGTCACTGAGCACGAGATCACATTGCTTTAAGTGCACATACATGACAAATAGAGAAACAGAGTCCACCAGCTTGTTTGGAAGGGATTGACTTTATTAGTGAAGCCGCACTACCGGCGGTAAAGAAGTGCGTGATTGGCTCAAGGGAGAGCCGTCAGCATGAGAATCACGGAGTGCCGCAACGTCATTTTCTGACGCATTGTTCACATGAAAACACTTCACTTTAGTGACTGTGACTGGAATGACGAAGCAAAAGGCGGTTCGAATTTAATATCGAATAAAAGTACGCGCACAAATGTCATAATGAATCTGTGGATTTGCCGCAAACAGAAATCAATTTTAGACACGTGTGCTTGGCGGCCCGAGTTGCCTTCCTATGTACACAAGTCTTGCATCTCTCCAGGGTCCAGCGGATGCGACCAAAGGGTTTCCGGTCGTCGCCGGCACACGGCGGTAAACCTGCGATGAGACCAACGCACATCACTGAGCGCTAATAACTCATATGCGATTTTTCATATTCACAAGTGTCTCCCCGTTATAAAAATGCGCTAGTCAGCACAGGAAGAGCTTTTGCCGTGCTCAATAAAATAGCGATGCGTGAAAAATCTCAGTGGCAAAAACTTTCGTGCCACAAATTATTTATTGAATTGAGGCAAATTACTTTTTGAACATGAATAATTGTCTGGTTTTCAATAATAAAGTTTTTTTTTGTTCTGGTTCTGAAGTAAGGTGTGTCTCCGCGAGAGCTTTGTTACGGGAAGCGAAACTGCAGGAACGTGTTGATAGCCTAGTCGTTTCGCCGGCTCGTACTTGATCATCTGGTACGCTCTTTCACTTGTTACTACTTCGTTATTTTTGTTGTGATAGAAATCATAAGGACACTCTTGGCTGAATTTTGCCCGCCAGCGTTGGCATCGACGTCGCCCTCACTCACCGTATATGCATATGTATCTACATAAATGAAAATGCAAGAAAGAAAACCCCAGAAAATGACTCTGGCACGCGGGATTGAACTTGGGTCTTCTCGATCGTAAGTGCAATACGTTAACAACTGAGCCATCGCAGAACACGCCCTTCACCGTTCATATGGCAAGCTATTTATACCTACGACTTACCGCGGCTGACGGGCATCTTGGGAAAGTCGTCGTGGTTTCAGTATTATTAGCAAGATGGCGCAATGAGCGCGCGTCGACACATCGCGCAGCAGAGCGCGCTCTAGTCTGCCATGCATACTTTGTTCGCTTAGAGGAGGGAAGCGATGCTCCCTCGCAAGTCCTTATCTCCGGTGGACAGGAGGAGAGGATCGTACGTCTTTGCTGGCATTGGGCTTTGCCTTTAATGATTCTGTTCTTAGCGGGCGCACAATGGTCACTGCAATCATCGCAGTCTCCGTTTGCGAGAAGGGCGTGTTTTTCAGATACAGCGAAGTACTAACTGAGTGCTTATTCGCGCGCATCTGTACCTGTTAGTATGTTTCGAGCGTCGTTCGTGCGTCGGAAACGTGGAGCAAGTTTTGATCTGCTTTTATTCTGCGCGTGACCTTCCAATTCATTGCTATCGCGTTCATAGCTTTGCCTTTGGGCACAGCTGTGACTTTTTTTAACTAATGATACTTCTATGTGAGCTTCTTTCTTCATTGCTACGTTATCAAGCTTCATCAACTACGAACTTCTGTCACTATATTGTTTCCTATAGATATGCTTGAGCGATATCTGGCTGCTAGTGTCTGAGCTGCATTGAACGCATGGCGATTCAGCTAGCATAGGAATTATGAGTACTACACAGCTTTGTCCAAGCTCCAATCTTTCGCCTCTGTGTGGCCTACAGTCGCTTTGTCGAAACACGAAGTTCAGAAAACGCTGAGCAGACACACTTCAACCCTGAATCTTTTGTATTCACCAAATCAGATCTGGTCTCAAATATCATGACGACTCATTATTTTATACAAAATAAACGCGAAAACACAACAGTAACAAATGCATTCGTAGCAGAAAGCACGGAGATTACGTAAATCTGTGTTATACCCATCAGTCCTAGGGTAGCTGAACTATCGCCACACCCGAGTTTTCTCTAGCTAATGTTCAGAAGCTGTGGTTACAGGCACTCGACACAGGTGCCATCACAATACTTCATAAACTTCGAGGCTGTTTTAGACATTTTTGACAAGACTGCTCACACAACACGACCAGTCAAGTGCATTCCGTAGATAGAAACAGCATCAGAGAAAGTCTTAAAATTCTTCATCATTCATGTTTCTATATTAGGTAGGCCTGGTGCATTTTCGACTATATGCGGCCATGGTGAAAAATATCATGCCTGTATATGTGAATGTGACAAAAAATAAGCTCCTATACTTCGAGAAAAAAAATTGACACTTGAAGGATGGTTAGAACATTGAACACGCAAGTGAAACTACGTCGCGTCAGAGAATTCATAGTAAATTACCGGTTTGAAGCATTAGTGTAAAATAATTTTCTCCTACATTTGAAGGTACAGATCTCTCATTATTGAAATTGTTTATTTTTTGTTTTAACTTTCTTTTTTTGCTCAGTGATGAATATCATAATGCTGAATCCTGAGTGTTTCTTAACATACAGCAGAACTTTTCATTTCGCGAGTAATACATTCGCACCTTGGGCGTCGGTTAAATTATATATAGGGTTCTGTGCTTTCAGTGTCAAGTTTTGTTGAAATTGGGAGGGGTGCATTTTGGAATCATGTTTTAAGAGTACAGTTGGCATTTATCAGAGCCTATTTTTCTTAAATTGCAATTTTCTGAAGTTCGGTGTTTTGCAATATAGGTCGTTACAATGTCTTCTTAATCATTTTATTTTCAATGAAAATGCTTTGCACTGTTGCTGATAATCCTGTTGTTCCAACTTTTGAATTTTTCTCTGCTTCTGCTGATTTTCTTGCTAACAAGCCGCCGATGTGTTCTTCTGCGAGCTCTCGTAAGTGTGTGTTAGCAGGCTCTATAGTCAGGCTGCATTTATGCCTTTCGTCGAAGTCTCCCTCATCTTCTTGATAAAAAATACAGGGACTATGAATACTACTACTACTACTAATAATAATAAAATTATGAAAATGATAATGATAATGTTAATAATAATATTATTATTATTATAATATTAACTGCGACAAGTCAGAATTGTTATTTGAGACCAGCTAGGATCTCAGGCCTAGCCAGCAAAAGCAGCGACAACGTCCGAGCTGAGCTTCTCGGGCTTAGCACTGACGATGTGGTTGCCGAACTTTGTATGAACCACTGCCTCTTCATTACATATTTTCCCGTCGCTGAAGACGAAGCCAAGTAGGTCTTCTATGGTGTCATGAGGACAAGTGGTTCGTGATACGGTTTGAGACGATCCTCGTGTACGGTTTCGCGGCTTCGGCGACGCAGGTCCGCAGTGGCCGTGAGGGGTTCGATGAGGTAGTTGACAGTGGAAGTTTGCTTTATGATGCGATAAGGTCTATGGTACCTGCTGACGAACTTTGTAGAGGTACCAGGAGCAGCAGTGGGAGGCACCCACAGCAAAACAAGAGAGTTGGGCGTGAACTGATAGTGGGACCGTCCATCGTCGCGACGAAATTACTGTAGCACTTGTGCCTTGTGTTGTAAGGGTGCGAGCTGTTTGCCGGCATTCTTCCGGATACCGAGCGGCTTAGGAAACTTGTGTGCCTTCGGTTGAGTCGGGTTCGTAGGGGAGAATAGTGTTGATTGGAGAGAATGGCTCTCGACCATAGAGTAAGAAGAATGGAGAAAACCCTGTCGTCGCTTGAGGTGCCGTGTTGTCAGCGCACGTTACGTAGGGAAGCATAAGATCCAAATTGGTGTGGTCGGAGGCGACATGCATAGAAAGCATGGGTCATGGTGGCAGGTCGAGTCCGACTTCGAAACTACAGGATTGTGAGGAGACCCAGCACCTCCACCAAACATAATGATGAACTGGGACAACCGGAACTGTTATTTGAGACCAGGTAGCATCGTAGGCCTAGCCAGCAAAAGCAGCGAACACGTCCGAGCCGAGCTTCTCGTGCGTAGCACTGACGATGTGGTTGCCGAGCTTTGCATGACCCACTACCTCATAATAATAATAATAATAATAATAATAATAATAATAATAATAATAATAATAATAATAATAATAATAATAATAATAATAATAATAATAATAATAATAATAATAATAATAATAATAATAATAATAATAATAATAATAATAATAATAATAATAATAATATAATAATATAATAATAATAATAATATAATAAAGATAACAATAATAATGTTAATACTTTATATACACATCCATAAGAAATACAACGAAACGGGCCTGTCTAAGTCGCCAGGACTTGTGCGACTAGGCCCGGCAGAGACGGTTACAGCGATGTGGATACAAGGTAACAAAACTATTGTTGTTTTCTTACTAACGAACAGACAAACGATTGACACCTTTACTTTTTTACAGGCAGTAAGTTAAAAAGAGGAAGAAAGGAGGGACACAGAGCATACGTGGCATACAAATAGACCATGTGATTTTACAGCTCAGCGAATAATTTCTTTAACTGTCCTTTTTGAACTCGCTGAAAAAAATTCGTCAGGTAGTGCACTGAAAAGTTTTGCAATATATACACTTCGACATGCTTCTCCATATCTGGTAGAGAACCAGGGTACTAAAAAACGCTTTTTTCCTCTCAGGGGTCGATGCGTTACATTAGGCACTTTAAAGTCATCACACAAATTGTATCTTAGAACAACTGTCCAAATAAACAAATACTGGAATACAAGAAAGCCCGAATCTCGAAAAATAGTACTGGCATCTATCTAACTACAGTAAGCTACCCTTTTTAAAATACTTCGACGTAAACTATCAATGCGTCTGTTCCAGCGTTCTGAGCAAAATGCAAAAACTCTTACTCCATATATCACTGCACTCTATGCTAACGAATGAACTATCATTTTTTTTCCACTGGTAGAGGCACCAAGCTTTTTATATTGAAAAGCAGACATGCCACACTTCTCAGTTTGAAACAAATAAATGCCATCCATATGGTGTTGCCAAGACATACCTCTATGGAAAATTACGCCTAGGTATCTGAATGTTTCGACATTTTCCACTGCAGAACGTTTGCATGGATTGCAATGTTTGGTGTGAAGAAAAATTGGTATATTCATTTTATGTGTTTTTAAAGGGCTTCGAAAGCAGATAAGATTTTTTTTCGTTTACATTTACGGAGTTTTCTTCAAACTTTAACATAGCATTATGAATTTCACTCTGAAGAGTATTAATCACCCCTTCGTAACGTATGTGACGTGTTAATAGCACCGTATCATGTGCATACTGGTACACATTGGCTTTACGAATTCCCAAGGGGAAGTCATTCATAAATAAATTAAATAGCAATGGTAACAACAGCGATCCTTATGGCTTACCAGCAGTAATATATTTTCTATTGCT